CACACACACACACACACACACACACACACACACACACACACACACACCCCACACACACACACCTCTCAACAGAATGTAAGCTTCTTGACAGGGACCATGACCTTTCTGTCTGCCTTTCCAGAGCCCAGCATACAGCAGATGCTTAATAAACGCTTATTGATTACTGACTCCCTTTCCTCAGTTTGGCCCCCGCGCCCCACGGTCCTTGATCACAATCGCTGTACGGATTCCTGATGGCCAAGCTATCCTCACCACTCCATATTCTCACTCTGAGTGGGAAGAAAGTTGAGTCTGTATGTGATTCAATAGCTAGACAGAGATCTTTCTTATCTACATAATGTTAGGATAGATTTTCCTTGAAAATTTAAATCCTCCTTTCTCCAAATGACGGAATTCTTCTCTGCTTAGCTTGTTCTGCCTCTAATCATCTGCACGTGTGGCCTGGGGGACGTCACCTTCACTTACTTCTGCACTTTGGGGTACTGCATCTCCAGGATGGCATTGGTGGACTCCGTCTGGCTTTCCTTCAAGTGCCTTGGCCACATGTTGTCTACCCAATCGATAAAGTCCACCTAGAAGAAACAAGGAAAACTAGGTCAACGTCCACATCGATCTTCACTCCTTCCTCCCAACAATGCTGGGATGGAGGCAGCAGCTCAGAGAGAGACTAAGGGCCTTGGCTGCAGCCACAAAGCTGGCCAACGTCAGGCCTGGTGTGAAGGCCAAAGGAAATATGGCCTCTCTCAAGCCACTGGTAATGCCCTTGACCCAAAAATTCATCACAGGAGCTACAAGTAAGTAAACTGGTACTTAGTTTTAGTTGAGGGCAATGAGCAAGTACCAAAGAGCTAACTATGAAATGATAATAGAGACACAGCCTTTCATCAATGTGATCACAAACATCAAGGACTGAAAGAAAACCTTCTATGGAGGGGACCAAGGTCTCAGCTGGTATAAAAAGCACAGGAAAGCCTAATGGTCAAGGTCACTGAGAACCGTTCAGACAAATCCAAAATACAGAGTAGACTCACAGCATAAATTCTGCCTAAGAAAAAATGGTGCCAGTTCTATCTCTGCCACAAGTTAACTGTGTCAGGCTGGCCAAGTCAAAACTGCTCTGGGCTTCAATGTCTTCAACTGCCTAAATGGGAGTAGAAAGAGCCTGGTGTAATAGTGAGCAAGCTAGCCTCAGAGTCAGGCAGAGAGCTCCCTAGGTCCAAGGCCTACCTATGCCACATACTGCGTGGCCATGACCATGTCACTTAACCAATCGGTGTCCCAAGCAACTCTCTGACACTACAAACTGCCAAGCAGTTTTTGATCTGAACTGGTTTTTGAAAAAATTTGTTCTAGGAAAATTCTACTCCAACGAAATGACGGGCCCAGTCAGGTCCAGAGGGACACTGATAATATCAAACAAGATAACAATTAAGAAAATGTTTTGAAAAACATATAGTATTAAATAACTAATTAGTATTTTTGCACCCATGCAAAAGACCCTGTCGAGGACTGCTTAAGGTCATGAATGACAGGACAGTCACTGTGGGACTGGAGAAGGAAAAACAACACTGTCCTCACTTTGAAAAAAGGAAAGCGTTTGGCATCTGTATGCAAACTGTTTGTCTGCAGATGAGTCTGACTTTAATTCCTGCCAAATTCTAGGCCTGAAGAGCAGGTTAGTGATCACTTAGAAAAGAAGGTAGCAATAATCCCAAGGAGCCAGCACGACTTATAAAGGGCAGGCTTCCCAAACCTGGTTTCCTATTTTTAAAGGATTAATTACGTCATTAGTCAAATCCTACTCAAGCTGCCCAGGCCCTTCCAATTTCTTTTATCTTGGTATCCGTTGGGCTTTGGGAATCATTTGGGCACACAGAGATTTTTATTAGAATGATATTTGCTGTATTAGGAGTATACCTTTATCCTGAAAAAGACTGGAAAACACCCAAGTGTTCAAATGCAATCACATTTCTACTACAGCCCTTCCCAAACAGACATATATCTGCTAGGCATCCAGTGTCGGGTTGCTCAGTTGGGATAGCACAGGCTGAATCTTCACACAAAGCCTACAAATCCAACCCATCACTTGCCTGATCGACTGCACAGGAGTGTATTAAATGGTTTCATAATTTTGGGCTGCGCAGAATGCTAGATGTGACTGCATAGGGTTAGAGACAGATGGTTGTTGTGGCAAGTACCTACAGTGTGACCCATCGTGCTGCCAGGCACCACCTTTGTGCAGCACTCTGAGGGGATATCCCAACAGACTGACCCTGGAGAATCAGCAGGACTAAAAGCACCCATGCAAAAGACCCTGTCGAGGACTGCTTAAGGTCATGAATG